AACCATTTTATGATTCTATGAAATTCTCACCAACTCCTCCTGCTGCAAACTCAAAGCACCTACAGCACTGTTGCTGCTTTGCATTGACATATCAAAGTTACATGAATTTGCTGGGACACTTATTAAGTTTGAGAACAAGGAATTTAATTTTTCTCCAACCTTAATAAGCTCTGCTTCCTGGCACAGCCACAATAAACTTTGGTTGTGTTGCTTCTTACCCGTTTCACAGTAGGGATCGCCGTCTTCTAAGTGGAAGACATTATTGCGGATAGGGTTATGACAGGCCACACACACAAAGCAGGAAACGTGCCAGGTTTGTTTCAAAGCATTTATTACTTCCTGTGGGGATTAGAAAAAGTGCTATTAACACATTATTTTGATGTGATGACTAGATTGTGGTGACCATGCCTCCACACGTGATTTGTTTCAATACTTTGTTTCCTATTGCTGCTTTAAAAAGGGTTGTGCGTGCCATTTCTGCTGATGTTAAACTTAATGAGATGCTTTATTTATGGTGTATCTCCTTATTCGTCATAAGCAACCTTTCATTTTTTGGAAGGTTCAGTGTAGCGTTGGACAGATGTATCTACTCATTTGGTCACCTTTTTCTGTCTTAATTAGGATCTCACCCACCACAGTCCACAGAAATAAGAAAAGCAGCACCTTCCATGTCTCCTTAAGTCTGTGATCAGAAGACATTACCCAGAAAATTACAACTGTTCTGTGTTGTTTTGGAAGACGTTATAGTGCCAAATAGGACTTCAGAAGTGCACTGCTAGAGCCAGAATGTGACCCCAGTTACACAAGAGTCCAGACACATTGCTACCTGCAGTAAAGCAGAGGATGATCAGCTGGCAGGCTCAAATTAGCAGTATTAGTGCCGAGTAGGATAACGTGTCTTTCTATCTACATTACCATTGGGAATATTTCAGTACTTCACATCTAGCCAACCAGCATGTTCCTCAGCAGTCAGTTTAGCTAAGGAGGATTATTGATTTTTCTTCCCCCTCCCCCCTCTCCAATTTTGTAAAAAGCTGTCAATTAAAAGCATTTTACTCAAGAAAATCTAGTAACCACAACAGCTTCAGAACAGCTTAATGAAAACAGGAGCTGAACTCAAAAGAGCCAAGGAGACTACAGCACCTTCTCTCAAAGAGACTGAAAAGGCTCAACATTAAAAGAGCAAACCCACATTCTGTATGTGATGGGAGCTGAAAAGGTATGTCAGACTATGTTCGGAGGAATTCAAACCGGGCCAGATAAAAGAATTTAATTACAGAGAAGAACTGAACACTGTGGTTATTGTTTCCACTGAAAAATGGGCCAGTTGCTGGTAACTTACTCCAAGGATCTTCCTCTGGCACTTTGAACACTCAGGGGCAAAGAACTTCTCATAGCAGACCTCACAATACAGCGCTCCTTTCTCTTCCACAAATCCAATGTAAGCCATGGAGGTTTTGCAGTGAGCACAATTAAACTCCTCTGGATGCCACGACTTCCCCAAAGCCACCAAGAAGGGTCCTCTGATTAGAAAGAAGAGATTTTTTTAAGCAAACAATTCTAGGATGGCTCCTGCAAAAGATGTTAACAGGCTTAGCCCGCAATACCTCTGTGCCATTATTATGCTGTTCACAGCCTCATACTGGTCCATCCCTCTTTCCTTCTAGGGACTCTAAGAAAGCATCAAATGTTGACTAGATGTATTCCCATTGAACTATCTCCCAGAAACACCTGACCACAATAAATACTAATTCTCTTTGCTTCACTGCATTTCAGAAATCTTATTTTAGAACTGCATTAGATATAGTGCTGAAGGGGCTGCTAGGGAAGAGAAGAAAGATGTTGCCTACATGCCCGACTCTTTTTATCTATTGCAAATTGGTATTTCACTCAGTGATACCATCAGCTCTTTCAGCATGCATTTGTATCAAGGACACAAATGTTCAAGTAGAGTTGACTCCATTAAGAGCTGATAATACCCATTTCTTGTGAGTCAGAAATTCAATTGCTGCCCTTACCCAACAAGTTTGTTATGGGATAACCCAGTTGTTGGGGGATTTCTTCTATTCACCTCTGAATACCAGAGGGAAAGGAGAGAAAAATGGCTCCAGGAGAGCAGCTCGTAGCCCTTTAAGGAGGGGGCCGGGGTTGAGGGTAGTTCTCTGGCCCCTGCTCCCAGCGGATGCCTGAGCAGTGCAAACACTGACCTAACCTGATACCCTCCCGCTGCTCTACAAGCACCTTTTTACATCAATGCCCTTTCAGTTATGTACTGATCAAACAATACAAGCCCTTATGTACAACAAAGTGCTCTCAGTGCGCCGTGTCAGCACAGCCTAATTTAACAGATTCATTAACACGGGTCTGACACCAAAGAGGCTCTCCTAGCTCCAGGTAGGATTGAGTTTCTGGCCATCTGCACCGAAATGATAGGCTCAGTTAGCTCTGCGATGGAAAGTAAGTTCAATGGTGACGGGAGGGGAAGGAATTTTTACAACATCTGCTGCATTTCGCTCTCCAGAGTTTACAGCTCTGACATGCTGAGGTTAGCCATTCAGGACAGCACGCAGGAACGCGGACGGATGGGGAACAGCCCGAGAGTGCATCTACAGAGTTTCTTTCCTAGAGTCCCCAGACAGCTGTGGCCGTGCTCTGCACAATGTCTCAGAGGTGTTCCATTAGCGGGCTGGCTCCCTGTGCACACGTGCCCAGAAGAGTGCTTTCTAAATACAATTTTACATTTAGTCAGGCCGTACTTTAAACATGTCAAGCTGACGCTGCAGCTTAATGATACCAGCAACTTAAAAGCTGCCCCAAAGCACAAGGAAGAGAGAAAAAAGTAAAAAAAACCACCTGCCATGCAAAATACACTAAAACATGATATTCAGAACTTGGAGAGGTTCCTGGTCTCTGCATATTTTTGCATTCAAAATTATAATTTCCAGTAATAAAAGGTAATTATCTGCTGTACTCATTTAAAAAGGAGTTTAAAGCCCCGATTTGAGTAAGGGGGCTGCAATGCCTATACTCATGCAACGTGATGGAAAGTAGCTAGGGCATGAAATGCTAGGAAAATGGCTCCAGACGGTTTCATCCTTCCTTCTCCATTTAAAACTAAAAAAATCCCAACAAAAAAAAAATCCCACATCATTCTGTCAACTAGAGAATATTTTTAAAGGTGATGTTAAAAACCCATGTTCCTTTCATCCAAAGATACAGGATGATCCAATTAGCAAAGCTGGCTATGAATGCACCTTTACTCCAGGTTACTAGGGTAAGAATTGTCTGAACAAATTCTGACATCACCATCCAGACCATGTGACCCAAACTCACAGATGAAGGCAAATAGTAATTTGTTTGTTTGTTTTTTAAGAGGTTCTGATGCATTTACAACAGTATTTACAGAATCTTATGCCCCAAAGAATCACTAAGTACGTAAATTGGGTAGCCACCAAAAACATCTGGGTCCTGCATATAGCAATGATACAGGGACAAACTGGAAGGAGAAGTAAATAACGTACATGGAATATAAGTGTAATTTCACTATCTTCACTCTTGTAACTAAATGCAAGTTCATCAGTATGGTCATGATGTATTAATGTGGCAATAATATAGCTTCTAATGTGGCTTTTATTATCATAGCAAGCCAGAACTGAGATTTGGTGCCTGAGAGATTAAGAGGATTTCCACATCCATTAAGTAGGCCACTCACTTTGCAGTTAACTGTACAGCATTCTACACTCTGGAAAGTTTCTTTTCCCTCCTCACTTGAAAATGCCACAACATTTATGTACAGTACATGCTGAAGGGAAGCACCATTTGTACTTTTGCCTTCAAAAACAATAAAGCTGTGTGAAAAAGTGACAACTCATCATGCACAAGCAGACACGCCGAAGAGTATGTTATCAATGGGGATACAGGAGAACACATTTGGACTTCAAAAGAAGAGCCAACTCTGTACTGCAGCACTAGGTAAGGCTGCCCAGGAACCAAAAGTCTTCATCAGGAAATGTCAGGAGTTTGTCAGACCATCACAGCAAGTACATCATGGGAAATTTAGTTTCCTTCCAGCTTTGATTCTTTTACACATGGAAAGAAAAGGTCACTAAATGAAGATTTGGAAAAAAACTAGAATCTTCAGATGATCTCTGTATGAATAATTAAAGATCTATTAAAAAGTTATAAGGTGTCCCTAAGAAATGCTTTTCGCTCAACCAGTCATGGTTATTCTATGCCTGAGTGTAAGGTAACCAACCCCACAACGCATTTTGGCTTCAAAACAGATGTACAATGCCATGTCACTTGATCTTCCTCCTACCTTTTCATAGGTAATGCTACCTCTAAGGGCATGAACTGTAATTATGCTAAAACTTACATTCGAAGTGCCATTGCAATTTTTCAAATCCACTGAATGCTGTGAACACCAGGTATATTTGGCATTAATGCAAGTGAACTCATCCTCACATGAAACAATGCTTGCTTGTAATAACTGAGGTGGCATTTAACATATGAAGAAATATAAGGATTTAAACAAACACCAGAAAATGACAAAGCCATTAGACGTGGCTATCAGTTACCACTCATGAAGAGGTGTCACTTCCAATAGGTGACAGTGGTTTAAGTATTGTCAAGTAGGGCTCCACAGTTTTTCCTCATGCAGTCACTGAGGAACAATGGTTGCTCCATGGACCACCATGCACCCCTACTTACAGGGCAGCAGCTCATCTCCTTTTCAATGTGATCAAAGTGAAGAGTAGCAGCAAGTGATTTAAGGGCTGAGAGGAGAGGTTGGCTGCTCAGGAGTGACCTGTGGACTGTGCTTCAAGACCCCACAGCAGAGAGCAACAAACCCTGCTATACTACAGGTGCTTTAAAAGGCACTGAAGTTTCTTGCATGAAAGGTGCAACACACAGTGGATTTGCTATGATCATATTTAGTTTTAAACTAAAATGATGGTAACAAAAAGTAAAGTGCATGGATGTTTGAATATTATTTACTAGACAAAAACCTAAAGCTCTCTACTGCCCAGGTAACAAAAAAGTCAGAATACTAGACAGATGGGACAGTTATACAGGCCTAACTGTTCAATGAATCAGATAGACCTCATCAAAAAAGTGTGTAGATCTTTTAGATATTAATCATCCATTTTGCACTGAAACAAAAAGTCTGGATTCAAACAGATATACAAATTCCCAACAGAGATGTACAAGTTTCTTCTATTGCTTCAAGGGGATTCAGATCATATATTCTTTTTTCTTTACATATATAATAGAAGTAGGAAAAACTTCTCCAAAACATCACAAAACAGTTAGCAAAGAGTCCTCTGAAATTAACGTTGTGTTAATTGAACTGATAGTTAACTATCAGAACAGAAATTTAACAGAAGCAAACCAGCTGGACTCTGTTCATCCCTAAAGGTAGCTTCATCATCTGTTGCAGAATCCAAGCCAGGCTCAAGATGCTGTAAAAAAGCCACGGTGAAAAGGCTCATTTTCTATTATACTGAATGAAGTTTATACAGCTCAGAGCTCCTCACTTCTCGGAACTCACGTTTTCTAATCAAAGTCTCTTTAACTGTGGTGAAATATAGCACAGCCTCTCCTACGGAACTGGACCCAGTACTGGAGCCCTGGGGAACACCACTTGTGACCGGCCACCACATGGATTTAACTCCATTCACCACAACACTTTCGGCCTGGCCATCCACCCGGTTTTTAACCCAGCAGAGCGTACGCCCATCCAAGCCATAAGCAGCCAGTTTCTCCAGGAGAATGCTGTGGGAAAACAGTTTCAAAGGCTTTACTCAAGTCCAGGTAGACAATATCCAGTCTTTCCCTCACCCACTAAGCAGGTCACCTTGTCACAGAAGGAGATCAGGTCAGTCAAGCAGGACCTGCCTTTCACAAACCCATGCTGGCTGGGCACAATCACTTGGTTGTCCTGTATATGCCACATGATGGCACTCAAGATGATCTGCTCCAAAACCTTCCCTGGCTCTGAGGACAGGTCTGTAGTTCCCCGGATCCTTCTTCCAGCCCTTCTCGTACATGGGCATCACATTTGCTAACTTCCAGTCAACTGGAACCTTCCCATTAGCCAGGACTGCTGAGAGATAGTTGGGAATCGGCTTCGTGAGCAGTTCCACCAGCTCCCTCAGTACCCTTGGGTGGATCCCATCCAGCCCCACAGCCACGTGTGTCTCAGTGGTGTAAGTAGGGCACTAACAATGTCCGTCATTCTGCTCCCTGTCCTTGTCTTCCAGCTCAGGGGGCTGGGTACTTTGAAAACAACTGGCCTTACTATTAAAGACTGAGGCAAAGAAGGCATTAAATACCTCAGCCTTTTCCTCATCCTCTGTCACTATGTTTCTCCTCACATCCAATAAAGTATGGAGATTCTCCTTAGCCCTCCTTTTGTTGCTAGTGTATTTATAGAAAAATTTCTTTTTTTAATGGCAGTAGCCAGATTAATAACCTCCCTGCATAACCTCACAACAACCTTGTAGTCCTGCTGAGTTGCCTGTCCCTTATTCCAAAGGTAATCCCAGGAAATCTCTATTTTAGGAAAGAAATAAAATGCAAGGTAGGTAAAAACCAGGATGATTTGCACATTGACACAAAAAGTGATTATAGTTCCCTGGATGAGACATCATGACTAATTGTCAGAAATCACTGACCAAACAATGCGACCCAGATTCAGTTCTTCCTCCATATAAAATTCTGGGTAATGATAGGATATATTCGGGGTGCAGCACAATTTATTTAACTTAATCTCACTTGACAAACTCACATTTATGTTGTGTCATCTTTTCTACCCATGTCACACAAGTCAATAACACCAGCCACCATAATTCCCAAGGCCCAGTGAGCCCACCAAAACAGCTTGAAACATTGCAGGAAATTGTAATTAATCCAGTCCTAACAATTATTAAACCTCTATTCTTTGCTTTTCTTACATGGATGGAGCCTGCTATTTTTCTTCTCAATTAGAAATTCTGATTTGTAAATCAACATTTGTGACAAGTTAGTCTTATATACTCTCTCATTGGTTTTCAACTCTGTAATCTTCTCAGTTTTACTGGAAAAGGTGTGTAAGTGAAAACGAAACTTGCTTACTTTTCTTCGGTTCTACTTTTGCTCTATTCCACCCAGCTTTCTGGTTCTCTGTAAAACAGGTTGTAAGGCTGTGACTGTTAGCAGTTCACAATGTTTTCCTCCATCATTACTTCATTCTCAGCTTTATTAAATAAACCACGCATGAAAAGCATTCTGCATTACTGAAATAAAGCCTTAAAACACTTGTTACTAAGGAACCAAAAACCATAAAAGCAAAACAAAGCCCTGTCAGAGAGCCCACAGGATGAAGAGATACAAACCTAATGACTTGATTACAGTGCGCACACATGGGAGTACGCTTTCCCGCAGGAATATGCTCTGCCCTCTGAACCAACGTGTCTTGCTCATTTAGCTGGGGTGCTGTCACTAATTTTTCATTTGGGGCAGTTGTTCCAGGTGATTTAATGCTGTTTGATGTCCATCCACTGACAGGAGCTGGGGACAGAGTGTCAAAAGCATTTAGAAGACTGTCTTTCAGGACCAAGTAAATTATCTTGAAATACAATTAACCGGCAACATTTGCTTAACATACCGTATATGCAGCGTATACCTGCCTACTTAAAGGAACGAATTAAAAAGCACTTCTTTTCCCCTCCTCCCCCACCAAGTAAGCCCCACCTATTTTATGAAATGTCTGTGAAATAACGCAGAATCGTTTTGGCTGACTTGAAGTAGTAGACAAATTTCAACATACTAAAGAAGTTAGGCAAAAGAATATACAACCTGTGAAGGCATTACTTTGCGTTAGATACAAAAGCTGAAGCCAAGAATATCAGTGTATGAACAGAGATGGGAGAATACAACATACCTACTCAAAACATTTTACATTGAGTGCAATAGATCATATGTCCTCACTAACAGATTAAACAAGAGCACACAATCAGTACAACATGTACGGGAACTTAAAATACAGTACTGTAAAAGGAAAACATTTCTAAATTGAATTTAAACACTAATCTAGATGAGTAGATACTGCCATTCTGAAGCACTGCAAAGGCCACATTCCCATCCTCTTCATAGAAGTTAGGACACTGAAAAAAACCTCCTGATGCTTTCAGAAATGTATACATCCACACGCTTCCCTCTGTGCTCAGGTTTTTATAGTCACAGAGTAGACAGAAGGTCTTACAGAGTATGAAAAATGCATTTACAAAAATGAAAGGCACAGATGATACTGTTGCCAAGGGTAATGAAGAAACAAACAGTCCTCTGCTTTTCTTTCTTCTCTATTGATATTTGTACCCTGGTAACATACAAGCTAGAGCAACACGAGTTTATGGGAGCAGTTATTCCTGTCAAGTGGAGAATTCTTTTTCAGGTATGCTAAAAAACCCATCACATTTCCATAGCCTTTTCCTTGTAAACACAGGCAAGAGAAACCATGAGTGTTTACTCAGTATCTAGGCTTTAGTGCAGCCATACGAACCCTTGTAAATCAAAAAGATATTAAGATCCGAGTGAAAGCTCAGAAAGAAACAACCAAGCAATGACACAGATGTCGGCCAGTGGATGATGCTCCTGTTGTAATGACACAACATACTCTCCAACACAAGGTCATGGCAGCAGCGTGTAGCTTTGCTGAAAACCTAGCTTGTAGAGCTGTTAATCTTTGTGCTAGTCATCCTCTCCCATCTTTAATATCAATTTCCAGGGTAAAGATGAAAAATCATTTATCATTATCTTAGTGTAATGCTGATTGGCCCTACAGAAATGCTGCAAATACCTTTCAGGTAAAATAATAATAATTAATTAATTTGCAATGTCATGAAAAATGACATCTGATTCTAGAAACATCCAGCATTCCTGAATAGAAAGTATTTAGCAAGAAGAAACATTTGATCTTGAACAAGTCACTTTGCTACTGTAGTTCATTTCAGATTATAAATGCCTGCTAAACTGAAGACATAGGAACACATAAAAATGGAAAAGGTGACAGAAAGGCTTTGAAGTAGTGAACAAAAGTGGGTTTGATTAATAGCACTTTCCTCCTCTGTCATCACACATGGCGTTCTAATTTTCAGGTCCCATTTCATGAAAAGACAAAAATACACACTAAAACCAAATCTGTTTGAAGACTGCTTTTGCCATAAATCTAATTGCAGTGCAGCTTGTAGTGTATTGCTAATTTCTGTTTGAGCTATCTGCTGAATCCCAAAGCCCATTCAGACACGGCTAGCTCTCGTTTGCACTGTGTGGTTAAAAATAAAGTCCTTCTGCTTGCTTAAAGGGGGGGGAGGGGGGGGAAGAAAAGTACAAACACCACAATTATTCCATTTTCTTTTGTCTCATTACAGCTTTCATTAATGCTGTTTTTATGAATGATGCTTTTCTGAACACTATTCAACTTTAAAATTACTACTGGCCAGGAGCATGATTTGTCTACATAAACTTTCTCTCAGAGTTGTTAGACTAAAAAAGGAGAAAAGGAGATAGCCCATCAGTTTGGGAAATAACTTAGGTCTATTAATGACCGTATGTTAAAACAAAAATTCTCTTTTAAGAAAACCATACTATAAACCACACAGATTTGTACTGTGTTAAGCAAGAGCTGTGGCCTAAGCAAAAATAAACTGGGCATTTAGTGCCGAGGACCAGCAAAGACAGATGGACCACTTCCGCTAAAATCTGTGAAGGCAAATTCAATGCCCAGACCTCCAGCAGACGCAGGACTCCCATGGGATCACAGCCACAATGCAAACAGAATAAGGGGAATAACAAATAAACGCTAAGCCTTCAGCTACTTCTATATCTGCCAGAATATTTTTGGATACTGGACAAAAACTATGTTCTAAAAGGCTTTTCAACTGTCATTTGTAAATTTATATCACTAGTCGGTCTATGATGGGAACAATATCTAACTGATGACTATTGATGCCACCAGCAGCTGAGAACTAAGACAGAAAAGGTTGCCTTCTGCTCAAAAATCCTTGAAAAGCAAGACTTAAATCATTTTATTAAATGCTCTCTTCTTCCACCTCTTGAGGCTAGTGTAAAACCAAGAAGCTCCCTGCCCATGGTCACAGTTTGTCCCCTCAGCATTCTGTCAAGGGAGATTATTCCCTTTGCTGGTGTTCATATTAAGACCTCACTGGTCTTGCACAGTATTATTCCCCTCTATTCCTGTGCTGAAGTGGACTCACGTTTATTTCAGTTCAGAACTTTCATTTTAAAAAGGAGTCAGTCTGTTTCCATTGCCTTTAGATCCATACTCTTATTAAAGAATATAACACCACCAGAAGTACCCTAATAGCTATTTCACCACATTTATTATACTGGTTTCTTTGTAAACCTTCTACAGTTGTTCTGCTAGCCTTTTTTTCACCATACATCATTCTCCCTTTCTCACTGCTTGATTTGCCTCTTCCTCATTCCCAGCAGCTGGAGGACAGCTTTTATTGCCCACTTGAGTCCTTCCACAGGCCACAAACATGGCTTAACACTCTGGCAATTTTAGCAGAGGATCATTACTTCCACTGCAACCCACAGAACATTTTTTTTTTGGTGGTAGTATTTTTGTTGGGTTGGTTTGGTTTTCTATTTTTAAAAAAACACTATTAGCTCCTTACTTAAAATCCATATGAATTCTCAGGTAGGGTTTTTTTCCAACAATATTCCATGTCTTGTAGCTACAGAATTTCAAATATTAGGTCTGTTTACTTGTTTAGAATGACCATTGATGTTTCCCAACTATTCCTTTTACTTAACAGCCAAGTTTAACACCCTTGTACTGGACAAGACTTTTTTTCTGCAAGCAGAGAGCTAGAAGACACTCTCAGGGTCCCTACATTCTCCTCCTCTCTTTTCCCTATTCCCTTGGGAACCTTTGAGATTGAAACACAACCACGTATTTTAAAGAAAAACATCAGGTCCAGAAAACTTACATGGGGTTTTTTTCTTGCAATGAGAAGCTTTTACTAGTGCACACCAGTAATAACAAGGTAGGTACAAATCATTACACTCAAAGCAAAGACTCTTGGCAATCAGTCTGAGCTCTCCTGGGGTTTGTGCTTCTGTACTTTGCTTTTTACATTTTACATATATGATTTTGGACCCCATCTGCAACTCTGTTCTCAAAGAGTGCCCTGGTACCCTAGATCTGGCAAGGTGCATGCACATTTTTAATTCTGAACAATGACCGTGTGGGGGAGAGGGAAAAGGAAAGAGCTTCAACTGCCTCAAGACACATTTACCCCAACACATATTTTCTGGGTGCCACCTTTGTTGTTTGAAACGGGACAAAGTACAGTAACTTTTTTGGGTTCTCTGAAGAATTATAATTTATAAGAAGTTAGTACAATAAATAAATATAAGAAATAATTCAGAAGAATTATATGCCCCATCTGGAGCTATTCTACCCTGAGTGCCAGAGAAGTTTGGCTTCTCTGCAAGCTGTCAAAAGATCTCTGTGGCCGAATTTTGGAGTTTTGCAGGCTTCACTTCACCTTCATTCTCTTTAATTAAACCCTCTAAAACACTGTTGATTTGCATTAGTGTATTGTCATAGCTGGCCTTTATAAAACAGAAAACACTCTGTACCTGACTATTAACTTTCTACTAGATTAGGTTTAAGTTTAGCAAACCCTCAGTGTTTGCTTTCACTAAACTCCTTGGTATGGCTAGTTTAATATTTAACAAAGTTTTAGGCAAGGTAAAGAACTGCCTTTTTTTCCTTTTTCAAAAATCCCAGTGTGACTCTGCCCTCGTTAGACTAACAATAGGCTGTTCCATCGCTGAGCACATGGATAACTGCAAACACTGGGGAAAGGTTTGGAAGACAAAGGGAGAGAGGCGGATACGTGGCGGTGCCAAAGTCACTTTGACAGAGGTTCTCCGGTGCGTAGCAACAATACAACAGCCTGAACTGTTTAACGCTCACTTAAACATAACATCAGACTTCATGTAATATCTATAAATAACAATGCTACTTTAAGCACTGGGAGTGCCAGAACTTCATTTTAAAGTGTTCTAACTCAGTGATTTATATGCTGCTATCAAACTACTGTATTATAAATGGAAAATATAAAGCTTCATATGTCCAATTTTCTGACTTTTCTTAATATATCTGTACAGTAAGAAATCTTCCTGTTCCTTCCCTCCAAACCAAACAGATGGCCGGCCGAAGCAATGTGTCTGAAGAGCTCGGCTGTCAGCTCATTACATTAGCCGCATATAACATCCCATCCACTCCCAGGCCCGCATGAAATCGCACAAGGTCAATGCAGAAAGCCACAGACAAGCAAGAGGGGAGGAAAACACCAAACACCACAAAAAAAGAACCAAAACCCCTGTATTCAGCAGTTCTCATTTTGTCTTTGATGTAAGGAGTCTTAGGAGGGCAGTCAGAGCTAAACTCCTGCCACTGATTAAAGGCAGAACAGGAGGGATTAAACCATTACCATGTCTCTAAATGCCAGGGGAGGCTGGTATGCACTCTG